TCTCTCACCTTCTGGCTGCTTTTGTCACCAAGGAGCAGCCTGAAGACAGCATCGCTGTCAGGGGTACGAGGATGTACACGTCGGGGAGCGCAGGCTGAATGGGAAAACCTGCCTTGCTCCAAGTATGAGCTCTACAAACCCCAACTATTTTTTTTTCCTTCTTCAGACTGTAGTTACAAACATCACACTTAGCAAACTGGAAAGGGAATGCTCCTGCATATTAATTGCTGTTAATTCCTTCAGGCTCTAAAGCGCTTTCATTGATCACGAGAAAGAAGACAAAGCAGCAGATAAAAGGCAGGTTGTTCCTTGCATCCAGCCTCTCTCCACACCGAGTTGAACGGGTGTCACTGTTTTGTAAACAATCACGTCTCGCAGCCTGCCAGCAACGTTCACACTCTGCAGTGGGACGAGAGAGCACAAAGGCAAGGGCTTGAAAATAGACATCAGACCTTGGAAATGACTCCAGGAGAAGCTGGCTCCCCTTGAGCACTGGGATAATGCATTAGGGAAAGGCATTTGCTCTGCCTTTCTGTCCATCTTCCGTGCTGAAGGGCAGGAGGTAGCTGGGAGGGACGAAGCACAGCCATCACACAGATTAAAGACCATGAAAAATACGGGAGTGGAAAGAAAACTCTCCAGGCACAGGGGCTCCAAGGTCATCGCCGGCTTTAAATGAAGGAGAAAATGAACTGCCACCAGAGGAAACGCCTGCTCCTCTGCCAAGCTGACACCTTCGGTTTCTCGCTGCAGAAGCGATCAATAGCAGCTGGCAGCATCCAGTTCTGTGAGTTCAAGAACAGCTAAAAACGCTCCCGACTGAAGATCAGTCGATGATGTAAAGCACCAAGCTGCTCCTCAGGATGAAAATACCCGCGAGCTCTGCGTGTCCACGCCAGGACACACCGGCCAAAGGGGGGAGGCAGGCCACGGCAAGGCCACAGAATCACAGAATCGTTAAGGTTGGAAGGGACCTCTAGAGATCATCTAGTCCAACCCCCTGCACACGCAGGGTCACCTAGAGCACGTGGCACAGGACTGCGTCCAAGCGGGTTTGGAAGATCTCCAGAGAAGGAGACTCCACAACCTCTCTGGGCAGCCTGTTCCAGGGTCCACACAATTAGGAACGCTAGGAAAAAGGAACCCCAACAAATCATGGATCAGGCCCAGAGGAAGCCTTTTCAAGTGGACGGTTGAGTTAGCTATAGCTACAGCCCAGTGGGCTAAAAAGTACTCGTTTCCGTGGGCATCACTTGAAAATCAGCACCATTACAGAGAAAATAGACACTGTGAGATCATCCTGTTCTGTTGTCAGTATGCATTTAAAACAAAAAATAAAACAGCAGAGTGCTTAGCAGGACAGGGGTGTGTGGGCTGCAGAGAGACCAAGGCAGGAACAGACTGCAACTAGCTAAAAGATGCTGCTTGAGATCCGGAGATGTTTCCAGAGCATTTTCCCACAATATTCTGGCTGGGAAGACTGTGTCAGTGCAATTGGTTCCTTCCCACACATTGGTTTTGTGGGTTCAGGGGGGTTTCTTTTCCCCTCAAGAGAAGAAATTTCAAATAAGCCAACAAGGGATCCCAGGCAGGGGATAAGTTACCCTTGAAAACATGAGCGCCTTAAGAAATCTGCATTAGCACATGGCCAAGCACTCCCAGCCTTTGACTTCTGGCTCTGGGAACATCCCACGCTGCTGCCCACGGCAATTCCCCAATCTGGAACACCGCGGAAGACGGGATCGGGCATTGCATCCCTGCGGATGGAGGCCGGCACAGCACAGGGACCCCAAAGAATATTCCTGGAAAATCAGTCTTCTCGGCTTCTCTAAGGGAAGCAAAGGGTTAAAGCAGGGACTGAAAGGACAGCGGTATTTACATAATAAGACCATGAGCACAAGCCCAGCCTAAATCAATATTAGCAGTGACTAATTCAGTCCATCAATGGGAGCTCTAGAATACAGGAGAGCTGCTGGAAAACCGTCTTGTTTCGCAAATTGTCCAAACTGTGAAGAAAAATAGATCACAAAAGCCACAAAAATTCCCAAACGCAGCCAGCAGGCGCAAGCTGCCCAATCCTGCACCCACGCCAGTGCTCCTAAATTCCTCCGTGCTTTGGTGGAAACTTAATGAACCTGAATAACACAGTGCTTGAGGCTCGCATGAGCTAACAGGTTTAACAGAATCTCTGGAAGAGCAACAGTCTCCCCCTTGCCTCATCCCCTTTCTCTCCAAATTTCTCTCATAAAACATCGGGCCAAAAAGTTGTTGCAATGATGCAGTAACCTGCTTCCATCTGGGAGCAAAGTTAGAACATGTGCTCAGACACTGACTTGCTTTAAGTGAGCTATTTTCTCCGGCTTTCCTTTGACTTTCTACGTTCTACACTGAAAATATATTTTTTGAAAATTCGGTTCCCTTATGCTGCATCTTCAGAACAGATCCGGATACAAAAATGGTATGGAAATTAAAAAACAGTTTACCTCATTGCTTTTAAAATGATCTTTTCCAGGATTTTTTTTAAAATTGGGTTTTCTCCAGCTCATTTTGGAAACACCTTATCAACGTATACCTCTCCTTCAGTTAATCACCAAATTAAGCACAAGCAACACTTTGCAGATGCAAGAAGTTACGAAGAGAATTTCAATTATTTTATTATACATAGATACCTCATATATTATCTGTGATAATAAAAATTACTTATAAACCCTTGCATATACATTTTGTGAATTTCAGGGAAAAAAGATGCAGAAATTGGAAAACACAGCAGAAATCAGCCAATGAACCTTCTGAATAGGGTAGTTTCCTGTGTTGTTGTTTTTTTTTTTCCTAGATTAAAAGTACATGATAAAGAAACATATAATCAGACCTATGCTGCTAGTTATGCCCCAAGTACTCATTTTCTTTCCTGTTGGTAATTTAGCAGCTTTAACAGTGCAGTCAAACACGAATTTGTTTGTGCAGTTACATTTGGGATAAATCCTGCTTTGCGGTGCAAAGCTCCAGCAGTGCACAGCAGATATTTTACCAGCTTACCCAGCAGTGGAGGACAACCATCCTGCACAGGATCCCACCAGTTTCACTGCAAAAGATGATGTTGGATTCAAATGGGTAAGTGAAAAGAACAGCAGTGAAGAAGGTGACAAGGCTGTTGTGGTACAGCGAGAAGTAGAATTGGTGCCTGGTCTCAGGAAACAGAAAAACCAAACCAAGAAATGGTCCGATACAGAGGGAGCTTTTCAGCCAGGTGTTTCTTGTGCCTTGCTATCGTCTGTATCAATGACAAAATGCCAGTTCCCTCCTAGAAAATGTGGGGCATGGAAAACTGAGCAGCTAATGGTATTGGCAGACCTTGGCACCTTCCTGCCTACCTACAATCATTCACTGCACCAGAAGATTCATGTCCTCTGCTGTGTCACCTTCAGCCTCACTACAGCAAACAACTGCTATATATTTAGTAGCCAACCAGCAGGCCACTTCTCTACATGTCTCTTGACTCCATGACTTTAACTTGCACAGGCAGGAAAAAAAAATAGAATAGAAAAAGGCATCATAGTCTAAAGAGTAACCATATAAAAATGTCATCACCTCATCCAGCTGGCCTGCTCCTTGCGCTGTGTCCAGGTAAAGGCAGGAAGAGCACTATTCTTCTGTCATGTTGGACCAAGACAGCCAGTCCCTCTAGGACATGGTCCCTTGGATCCTATTGTTGCCTGTAGAAGAGCTCACCCAGAAGACAGGATAACACAGCCCGGCACTCTTTACTGCTCAGTGCCAAATATATTCCCCATTCAGATCCTCAGGAGATTTTAGAGCATAGGATATTCAAAGAAAAGCCCTCAGCAAACTGAGCTGGGCTGAATCTCAGAATGGTTGAGGTTGGAAGGGACCTCTAGAGATCATCTAGTCCAACCCCTGCTCCAGCAGGGACACCCAGAGCACAGGGCGGCATCCAGGCAGGTTTGAAGATCTCCAGAGAAGGAGCCTCCACAGCCTCTCTGGGCAGCCTGTGCCAGGGCTCTGTCACCCTCACAGGAAAGAAGTTCTTCCTCATATGGAGATGGAACTGCCTGGGTTTCAATTTGTACCCATTACCCTCGTCCTGTCATTGGCCAACACAGAGAAGAATTTGGTCCCAAATCACTGAGAAAAAATATTTAAAACCTCTCTGTGTTATTCAGAAATGCTCTTCTGAATGAACTTAACTTTCACTAAGATAATGTGTGGTCAGAACAACAATGCAGAAAAAAGTGATTTAGGCACAAAGGTAGACGTGCAGCTTGTTCTAGTGTTTTTTCTCTTTTTTGGTCTTCATGATGACAGAAGTCATGGACTTCAGGTATGCAACTAAACATGCACTGTATGTTCGTAACACAAAATTGATGTAGCTCTCTCTCATGCAAACCTATGGTAGTACAGGCTAACAAGTGCACAGGATACCTACCTGAAAACACTGTTTAATCCTAATGAATAATATCCATTACCAGTATAGGAGAACAGTAGTAATGCCTAGGCACTTAAAAGTGGACAGAGAATTCTGTAGTGCTTCCCCATGCTGCCTGAAAATTATATTATCCAGTCTGCAGTGGTATCAAATGCTTATTTCTAGGACCTAGAAACACAATAGTAAGGGAGAGGAAGTGTGATCTGCATGCAGGCTAGACTAATGAGCTATCTGCATGTCAAGAATATTTGCAAACATCATTAATATATGAGTAAAAAGGGAAGAGAATTTATTCCAGAAGAAAACACCATCAGTCTGTGATGACTGAGCCTAGAACAAAATGAGTAAGATAATGACCAGAGAGGGGATTTTGTAGATTTTCCCATTGCTTTTCTCAGTGGTTAATTATTTGGATGTGGAGAAGGCAGGAGCACCTGGAAGGACAAGAACTAAACGTGCCCTCCCAGGCCTTGCAACCTACAATGACCACAACTGCTGAGGCTAAAAAGTCAGGCTGAAGGGGACACGACCTGCCGGAGCTCAGCGGTTGTTCCAACTGGCTGAGAAGAGGGAAGAGCAGCCCACAGTCTCGGGACCTGCAGGGTCTCCTGGTAACCATTAGGACTCCAGCAGTGTGTGCCACCTGCACACCTGCATCCCCTTCGTCTCCTTCATTTCTTGCCAATGATCTTGTTCTTCTTCTCCACTGCTGTTCTGACCCATAGAAATCCAGCCGATCATCTCCTTGCGCTTCATGCTGTGTCTGTTGTATATGGAAATCATGAGCGTGACGTCGGAGAGCTGGAAGAGAGCAACCTGGAAAATGAAAGTTTCCTTGTAGACGGGGTTGGGTTGTCCTCGACGGATGGAGGTCTTGCAGCGAGACATCTCCTGGCCCACCGAGTTGAGCAGACAGAGCTTTCCGTAGGTGTCTTGGACAAAACAAGACAAAACAGAGGAATTAAAATTTCTGGCATGGGCCACAGACTCAAGGAAAGCACCAAGCAGTCAAGAAACTACCCTCAGAAATCCAAGCAAAACAGTTCTGTCTGTATAAGCACTAAATGAGAACAGGCCTGGACTCCCCTCTGTGGGAAAACTATGCAATGAGGAGCAACAGGTGAAACACCTCTTGGATTTCCTCATATTTAGCTAGGGAGAAGAAAGGCAGGAAATGTGTGATTTGCCCCTACTTTCTTGCATATAAATAAATAAATAAACAAGAATTTTGGCTCCCAAACCCAGCAAATCTGTCAAAAACTAGTCAAAACTACGAGCATCTCTGTGGATTCTTCACATCAAATGGTTTATCTGCACCTTCTCCTACTCCTCCTCACAACACAGCTTCATGGGAGCTGTTTTACCAGGGCTTCCCTTAGCTGCACTTACCTCTCAGCATTTTCCTTGCCTTTATGACCTGCTATTTGGAACAGTAAACAAAAAAAAAGGCCTGAAAAAGACGAGAAGGAAACCCGAGTGTGAAATGATCTGATCACACACTAAGGCTTCAGGGCATATTCCGAATTCTCATCTTACTTTTTTGTTGGACTGGAGGTTGATTTTATTCACAATTTGAGCCAATGAAAGCGGTAACAGTGATTAAGCGATACAAGGAAGGGATGGTCCATTTCAGACTTCCAGTAAATCCACCCGCGAAAGTCTTGCTGCCTCCTTTATTAACTATCTCATCTTTACTGTTAACAGCGTCTTTGCAGGCAAAGCCTTGTGGCAGCTTTGCCCCGTGCATAGTTGTAGCAGGTGATTTGACTTGAGAAGCCCCATTCTACCCCTCTGTAAATCTGCGCCCGAGTTTGAGAGTGATTACTATTTCAGAGCATGCTGAAGATAGGAAATAAATAACAAGCCACCGTCTCTTGTCTGCAGCATGTCTATCCTTTTCTGTTCCCGATTGATGTGCTATTTTACGCACTTATCCGCTGAGCAACACAAGGTGTGAAATTACACTTCAGGTGTGAAAACACTTCTGTGTCTCAAAAGCAGGGCTCTCCGCTCTTCAAACTGTTCCCCTGAAAAAGCTGTCAGGAGACTGACAATCGAGGAGCAAATTGAGAGCCTGCACAGCTGTACAGCTATCGAGTTACTGCGGGGAAAGTTCAGCCCAGTCATTAGCTAGTGGTGCCAATTTGGCACCCAAAGTAACATCAGAGTCGAAGCAAATCTTGCCAACAAAGACCTACTCGTTAGACAGAAAAGCAAAGCAATTTCAGGCTTCACTCTGACATGAAATATTTTGCTGATTGTAGCTGGGAAGGAAAGGACAACTTCAAACCCAAAGCAGAATTCAGGCTCTAGGCACTTTACCAAGACGTAGACCCAGCTCCCACAGTAATATTCAATTTGGGTGACACTGAGGGATTGATTTCTGTTACAGCTTCAGACCACAGAAATGAAAAACACAATAGAGGACTCTCCAAGCTCAACCGAATGTGAAGCCAAGCAAGATAACTAACAGAGGCAATTTCCTGCAATACTTGTAGACATGATGCTTTGCACTGACAATCTGTAATGCACATTACAAGTATTCTTCATGGGGCAGTTTTGGTCAGAGGTTACTGCAGAGCTTCCTGGAATTAAAATTAAGTAAAGAATACAGAGTTTATGAAATTTTAACATATTCAGCTCCTTTTTCTGGTGAGGAGGGGGGTTTCAAATTACTGAAAATTTTCAGACAGGTTGATTTCGAAACACAATCAGCTAAATTAGGACAATTCCCTCTTTAAATTTCACAGCTTGTTTCTTTCAAATTGAAATCTCACATTTTCTGCATAATTTGAATGTGTTTTCCAAATCATTTGCAGGCAGAGAGCTGAAAGAGTTTGTTTCTGCTGACACACGAGAGGCGAGTTCCGGAATATGGGAATTCATGGGAGGAGGACCTCTCCATTTGCTCCTGGCCCAATACCTCAGCTATTCTCTAGATACGTCCTTGGTCTTTTTTCCCTTTCCTCACCACTCTCTGAGAGCTGCTTTGTTGAACACGAGGCTTGAATGGATTTTTTGTTGGGACCAGAGGAGGAAACGTGGCTGAGAAGAGTTTATAAGGTCAGATCACAGGTACCAGGAACTCCTGACCCCCTTCCCAGCTCCCAGCAGAGCGTGTCACCCACGTGAGCATGGGACTTCCCCAACACAGATGAAGTGCTTCTTGGGCTCACCTTCCCATGCCACTTGAGGGAACCTACACACACCTCTATCTGTTTTTCTGAGAAGAGATCGAGAGCACTGAAGTCCAAACTTCCCCCTAAGTAAACCCTCCTATTATCCATCCTTCCTGCTGCTGTCAGCGTTGAGAGCTCTGGTGGGATTCATCACTCCTAACCACAGACGCACACACTTCAACAGTTCCCCTATAGAGTGAACCAAAACATAGCCAATACCACCAATGAAGCATATGGCATCAGCAGTGATCTAGTATACCAGGCTACACCATCACTTCAGATGATTTAGACTTTAACATTAGAGTACCACAGCACAAACCTCACAGGATATATGTTTCAGGATGGCCCCATCAATCTTCCAGGTGATGAACAGATTGATTTCTTGCAGCCATAAAGTCTAGAATGTCCCATCCCTAACAGAGGCTTCAACTTTAGCAAGCAAAGAGTAACACAACCATCATAAAAGAAACCCAAGGATTGCACAGATGAAAATTTAAACCAATAGAAATAAAAATCAGGATTTTTTTTCTTTAATATATATCAGAATCTGTTATGCAATGCTGTGCCAAGACCCTGTCTGCAAAGCATCAAGGTCAGTAGGGTAGAACACGCATGCTGGAAGGAGACTAAGCTCCTTGTAGAGCATGTAGCAGGAGTCTTGGTCATCCCTGTGTAAACATAGACACAAAACTGGTGCAGGTTACAGCAGAACCGGGCTGCCTTTCTTCTCAAATACACTGGGTGTATTTTACCAGCCAAAAGAATCAATCTTGCCTGAACAGAAATAAAAGAGTAGGTGTGGGTAATATATTTAGCAGCTGAAATTTACTTTGCAGAGCTGGTGCGTATGAGGCAGAGATGTTATTCTGCTTCACTAACTGCATTTTTAAATTGTGGCTCACCCCTTGTGCTCCTGCAGCATCTTTCTAAGCGTCTCACTGGCAAATGCTCCCTAGCTCACCTTGTGTTCCAGCTTGGTTCTCTAGGACAGAGCATTCCAGCTTTGGTTGGCTGTACAAAACCCATCCTTGGATGCATGGGAAGATCAGGGGACATACAGCAGCGATGAACTTGCATATCTGCTGAGGAATGTATGTGTGAGAGCATCTACTCATTACGAAGGCAAACATTTTGCATTTAATTACATGCTCAGATTCAGTAATGGCCTCATTACTGTGGCATCTCAGCACTTTACACTCTTCGGTGTGTTTACTTTTATGCCACCTCTGTCAAGTACAAAAGAAGTGAGACTAAGGCTTATATTCCTTAAAATGCAAAGTGCTCACCCTCCAGTTAGGCGCCTATCTTGCTGACACACACAAAAAAAGAGCCTGCCCTCTAAATATCGAGGGGTGTCTGAGACTATAAAACTTGCCTACAGTTACAAAAAAGTTTGCAAACCAGCTGCAACGAAGTCTAATTTTGCCAAGACCAATTTTAGCACCATGTTCTCCGAGCTCTCCCTTTCTAGATAGACTTTGCAATAGAAGTTCTTGTTACAGATCGTTTTTGCTATAAACTCATCTTTCGTCTCTGGGACGAGAGGCCAGATGAAAATTCATGCATACATAAAATATCAACACCTCTATATTTAATACCAGAGAAAAAAGCACTAAATTAAGGAATGCTGCAAGAAGCCAGACACATTTTGGGCTGGTGCTGCATAATCTTATTCCAGAGGTTTGGCCAAACGTCTTCTCATGCAAACTGCTTTGTCTCCATCAGCACTGCCCCAACCATAAACCATCCCTTGAGAGCCCATCTGCAAAGGCAATCAGTTTATCTGCAATTCTTCTAATGACCCATTTCGGTCTTCATCCTTCGAAGGGAACTAACTCATAATGACAACTCAGGGGAATAATCAACTATAATTTATGTGTTCCTGTTTTTGGAGCAAGGAGCATAGCGTGAGTTCTGCTTTCATTTACCCTGAGCTCCACAGTTATCAATAAAGTTGACCCGTGAATAAAAACACGGTAATACAAAAGTGTCCAAACCCCTGCTTGATTTTATATTTAGAAAGGAAATAAACCACCAAAGCCTCTCGACCTCTTGGTCTGCGGCCTGCAGGGTATAAGGCAGTGCTGAGACTCCCAGGCTCTCGCTCGAGGCCAGCGAGCTCATTTCCAAAAGCAGTACAACCATGTCAGCATGCTGCAATCCAGACTAATAAGACCTGCAATAAAACACAGCCTTGGGCTTACAGCTTAATTTCACCCAGCTGGCAGGCCCACACTCCCAGCCTACCTAATAAATAGCAGCATGGCTTGGCAAGCCAGGCCCAGATCTAGATTCTGCTTTATTCTTTACAGCACAATTCCATGCAAGGTAGAGAAATGCTTCATCTATTCTGACCTCAGACCTGAGATTGCCGCTCAATCAACGCATGACTTTTCTTGCCCAGTTCAAAAGTCCTTTGAAATCAGTTAACCATAGCCACAGGTGTGCACGTAGAAAAGAACACAAAGGAGAATTAAACTCAAGCTTTTGTCTTCAACCCCACGTTGTGAAAATCTGGGATTAGGCCAGAGGCAGCTTGTGGCTTCCTCTATTTACTGTTTAAAAGCTGGCAGCTGCCTACCACCCACTGTTGGTGGTAGCCAACTTTTTTCCCCCTCACTTCACCAAGTCTCCTCCACCTGGGTCTCCTCTCCCTTGGCTGGCAGCTCCTGGGGAAGGCTGCGACCTGGCAGACTTTGCAACATGAGTCATAGAAGAAACGACCGGCAGTGCCTTTAATTTCAAAGGCAGCA